CACATGTATCTAGAGCCAGGCATGTTGCAACTCAAAGTGGAAAGCGACTTGGATTAGGGTACAAGGCTTAAGCCTTAGCTGTTCACAAATCTGGCTGCTGGATAGAAGATATAGGGGTCAGGTGGCCAAGTGACCCACACTAAATTGACAGGTGCCACTCAAGGCTCAACTAGGTCAACTGCTTGGAGTGCACACAAGAACAGAGCTCCTCCCTGCTCTAGTCATGGGGATGACTGAGCTCCATAGGCAGAGTGAAACTTATTGGAAGCGCGGCCTGGTTGGAGCCCAACCTGAGGCATTCAAACACCTTCTTATGGGGTTTTGCAGAGATGTGCAACTTACAGGACTTTTCCAAGTGAATGACAGGAAAGAGTGGGTGGGGGGGAGAATGTTCATGTCTCTCCATCCAGCAGATGACATCTGCGATCAATCCCTCAGCATTAATCCCTTCCGTGGCAGAAGCAAAAATATTAAATGGTGCCCCCCCCCCCCCTCTGAAGAAGTGCTGGAGCACGATACGCGTCAGGAGGAGCCATACTACGCCGCCGGAGCAACGTGGAGCTCCAGCGGCCATTTTAACATACCAGCTGGTCAGTGCTTTTTCAGACTACTGTCTGCAACGTTTTTTTCCTATTTTACCCTGATGTATCCTGATGTATCTCTAATAATAAAGCCTTTACAACATACTACACTATGGGAGTGTTCTTGTCGCCCCCTGGGGGAGTGTTCTAGCCCACAGATCCACTCTAAGGACGGAATACCAGCCACTACCCAGGCCAACCGGAGGGACAGCACCCACCAGGATTACACAGGGGGACCCCTTTGAGGAAGAGGACTACTTACCTTGGACCATATAGAGGGAGGACCACCCATTACCTAACATCAGGATAATTACATATAAGGCGCATTTAATATGCGCGTCCGGTGAGTGGGCATTTCATTACCATTACCACACGGATACCCAAGTCACCTCAATTTTTCATATTTGCTGGACTATTCCATAATTCTTATATTTAATATTAAGGACTCACTGTTCCCTTTGTTTACCTATTGTCTATAAGCGCTACACTCTTCATATACATTGTCTTTTCCATAGGTCATTGGTACCTTTTTTCTGTGCATAGCAGCTTGTTGAATATTACTAAGGCGCTTATACTACTTTCTATACAAAATTAAATGGTGCCCACTTGCATGAATGAGGTAGCTCCTGGTACTTCAATCTGACCAACCTCACAAAGTTAGTCTTCAGAGACAGGATCACACCTGGAGCTGTGTATTTAACATGTTTCAGGAACTGAAGCGAGGGGTACAAATCACTAGAACAGAGATGCAAATACTTTAGCAAGCCAAACTGTTCATGGACTTGTATTTCACCTGTGCATGTAGCAGTTTGGCTGGAATTCTGTTTTAACGTGCTGCAATTTACAGGAAGTAATGCCAATGGCAGGGTGCCAAGACACCAGAAGACATCTGATCGATAACAGCTGAACCATGCGTGCTTGGAAACATGCAGCCTTCAGGTGTGAGGTGGGGCTGTACATGTAGGTCAGTACAGAGATTCCCTGCAGCCAAACTGCCTGCTTGTGTCGTCACATTAGTTGATGAGATGAAGACATCTCATACGTGATTGACAATATAACTAGGGGAAGATTTCAGCCCCATTCTAGCCTTTTATTCTTATCTGACTCCATCACTGCATCTTTGTCTCCTCTGCCTGGACACAACAGGACAAAGCTAACCCTATCCAAGAGTACCCCTGTTATCTGAAGTTGTCCCAAAATACCCCAACTAGTGAGGTGGGAGGCCAACTCCAGCCAAGGAAGAACTAATAGACTTTATAACATGAAATTCGGCTAATGGTGGAGCAGATATTTAAATTCCCAGAAAATTGGGTAGAAAAACATCTCTAAAGCAAAAGGTAGACCACAGCTTAAAAACATAGGTCAATTAAGCCAAGATAAAGCTCACCAGTTGATGTGGCTGTACTGAGGCCCCATCCTTGCTTAAGAGCCTTTGCTGCTGTTGATCAGAATTCAAGCCTGCTATAAATTCCTCAATATTCCTCCCACAGAGAACGAGAATATGACAGAAAAGAAGGAAGCAGAACCTTCAAGACACCCAGCAAGCCAAGACCAAGTCTATACATCTGAAAAAAATGTTGTATGGGAATAAAGATCTAGGTCAGGGTTTCTCAACTAGGGTTCCTTGAGCAATTTCCACCTCACAGATGAGTTCCCACTGACACCATTGATCTATTTTAAGTATCTGTAAGGGGGTAATTCTTCCCAATGAACACAAGTGTAAGAAGCATTCATGCCACTAACCATCACACTAATGTATTATGAGCTTTAGATATATTAATATTTATCAGGGGTTCCCTGAGAAAGGAAAGTTATTTCAAGGGTTCCTCTGTGTTTGAAAGGTTCAGAAAGACTTGTGTAGACCCCAGGGGGGTGTTTTGCTGGGGTACCTGCCATATCCCTCAATAGCCATTCTACTAAATTGGATGGAGGGACTGTAATAAATGAACCACTGCCCTGTTCCAGCTCCTCTTTGAGGTAAAGCACAGCTGGAAAGCATTAAGAAATGTGTATATCCATCTCACTGACTGTGTGGAGTGATCCTTGAAACTGCCCACCCAACAGATCATTTCCTAAGAACATTTCACAGGGTGCACCTGCGGCTCCCCAGAGCAGTCTGAAGAGTGTGTGTGTGTATATATATATATATATATATATATATATATATATATATATATATATATATATATAGATGAGAAAATCAAGAAAGTGTCCAGTAAAGGTTTTTTTGATCACTATGAGAGGTCAGTGGGTATACACAGCACTCTTTGGTTATATACTGTAGGTTGCTGACTATCAGATGCTGTGATTCTTTAATCCACATTTTCTATAAATATCTGTGAGGTGTTATCTTTCATAATTGTCAGCACATAGGCACTGATGAAGAGGGATTTTTGAGGCCCCTGAAACATGTGGGCTATACCTCCTTACCTCTCGTTGTGGCCAATATACGTTTACTAGACGTACAAAGCCATCCACCATACTGCCCCGAACTACATCACCAATTTAATATCCAAGTACCACCCAACATGCACACTCCGCTCCTCACAAGACCTCCTTCTCTCTAGTTCCCTGGTCTCCTCCTCCCTTTCCCGCCTCCAGGACTTCTCCAGGGTGTCACCCATCCTCTGGAACTCCCTGCCCCAACCCATCAGATTATCACCTACTCTCCTCTCCTTTAGGCGCACCCTGAAAACCCATCTCTTCAGGGAAGCCTACCCCACCCCCTGCTAACTTGCCTACCTCCTCCACTCTTCCTACCACTCCATCCCCCACAGCTATCTCCTCCTGTGCCACCATCCCCTCCCTCCTAGATTGTAAGCTCCAAAGAGCAGGGCCTCAATCCCCTCATGTTTTGCATTGTATTGGTATTGTTCTGTCACATGTTCTGTCCCCCTTTGTAATGTACAGCGCTGAGCGAACTATTGGCGCTTTATAAATACTGTATAATAATAATAATACTACTAGACTTCTTGATTTGTGGTGCTCTCATACTTTTTAGAGATACTCATAGGTTCAGATACCAAACAGATGAGATGGCCTAGAGCAGTGGTTGGCAAGCCGCGGCTCTTTACACAATTTAATGCGGCTCTTCTGTGTGCCGGGCGCCCGCTCCCCTCCCTCCTCTCGGGCGGCCGCCCCAAAAGTCAGGACTCTGCAGCTAGCCCAGCAATGGGCAAACTACGGCCCGGCGGACCTTTTAATCCGGCCCGCGGAGCGTGGCAAACATTGGCTGTCAGGATGTAGGCGGGGCAGCATGACGAACTCCTCTCCTCTCACAGTCAGCCCTGAAGACCGGAACGGCGCGGGAACATGGCGAGAGGAACGCGCGGAGCAAAGGTAAGTGAATTGACACAATATGGGGAATGAATTACTATAGGGGGGATGAATTACTATAGGGGGGATGAATTACTATATGGGGGATGAATTACTATATGGGGGATGAATTACTATATGGGGGATGAATTACTATATGGGGGATGAATTACCATGGGGGATGAATTACTATGGGGGATGAATTACTATATGGGGGATGAATTACTATATGGGGGATGAATTACTATATGGGGGATGAATTACTATGGGGGATGAATTACTATGGGGGATGAATTACTATATGGGGGATGAATTACTATGGGGGATGAATTACTATATGGGGGATGTATTTTCAGTTTTAAAAATGTGGTTCTCAAAATAAATTTCAATCGTGGTTTTGGCGAGATTTGGCTCAGTTGAAAAAAAAAAAGGTTGCCCATCACTGGCCTAGAGGACCATACGATGAGCCTACTTGTTCACTTGCAGTTGTCATGCGACCGTTCCCAATGTCTGCCGGACAGTTCAGCCAACTACTCTTGCTTGTCAGATTGGCTCATGGCTGTGATTGGCCAGATCTGGTGTAGATTTGTCACCTTTAGCTGAGCAGTCCAATATAGAGTAATGATGATTTTCCTGGATGAAGCCCTGGCTGACTTCTATCCAACGTGTGATGGCGGAAGACCAATAAAAGATCTCCCAATACTCCAAATTAATTAGATTAACCTGCTTCAGCTGTTAGGTTAGAGGTGGAGGTTTGTTCTACAAATGTATGTAAATTATCTGAAATATTTTTAGAATTTTTTTAAATTCCACCCTTGTACCTCTTTTTCCGTATTTATTATGAACTGAGCTGAGCAGATGCCATTTTCTACTATGGAGGGGGCCCAGACACTGCGGCATTGTGGGCAGAGTCCTGACCTCCAGAGGTGGCTGGAACTACGTTGATACACTGTGCGCAGTTTTCAGCTATTGCGTTAATCTTACATATTTTACATTTTAGAGAAATTATTGAAAACCAATTAATTAAACTCTAGTCTGTGTGTGAAATGACAGCTATGCGCCCTGGCAGGTCCTGTGTACCCAGAAGCATAACAAATCGCCTACCTTCTCTTCACGTGTAACTCCTCCACCCTCGCCCATGCTGCTGTCCCGAGGCTGCATTTCCAGCACTGTGCGGAACAGTTTTTCTGATGTCTGGGTGAGGAAACCAATCTCGGCGTTGGGATGTAGGCCATACAGGTAAGGAGACTCAGCTGGCAGCACGTCATCAATATACTGCAAGGAAAAAGAGGAGCAGAAATGTTGTCAGTGGTTGTCACTGGGAGGGGGAAGGGTTAAAGCTGCCCTCTGCAATGAAAGGTTTTGTGGTTTCACCAGAAGGGCAGCCTTACATGGAGCGCATAACAGCATTGAATAACAGAGCAATGTAGATAACTGGAATGCAAACGACTACGGAGCTCTGTTATAGGGCTGTTACAGTTGGTATAGAAAAGAATCACCCCCCCCCTTTAAAATAATCACATTTTGTTGATTTGCAGCCTGAAATGAAGACAGACACAGTTTTTGTTTTATACAGCTGTATTTACTATAACATCCAAGTGAAGGATATAACACCAACATGTCAGAAAAAAATTCATAAATTCAAAAACAGAATCACAGAGTTGAAAAAAAAAAAGGATCACCCCCCCCCCCCCCCTCAATCAGGTGTAGCCAATCACCTTCTCAATGGCCATTTGACTTTCATCTATGATCAGCTGTGGTCATTTTGCTTAGCTCAGCATGAAAAGAACTTTCCTGGAGCATTTCAGTCCTTGCTAGTGCAACTGAAGCAATCAATCAAGTATAGGTGGCAAGGCACTGTGATTCTTTTCTATACCCACTGTGTGCACTCAGGAGCTGGGAGTTAGCCTGAAATCAGCCAGTTAATAGAATAACATCTGTCAGACCTCACAGAGCCTCTCAATTTCACATCAGCTGATTAGTCCTAAGACAAAAGCAAGTAGAGATAAATAAGGAGACCATTACAAATCTTCCATTCGTAGGTCTGCACAATTCTAATGATTTAAAGGCAGCTGAAGAAATATGGAGGCTGCAATTGCTGACCTCTCCTTCGGTTGACTGGCTGACATTTTGACTCTCTGGCTTCAATGCTCTCTAAATCACTAACCTGGAACAAGTAGAAGAATAGTACTGACTTCATTGAGTTCATGCTTGTTCCAGGTCAGTGACTTGGAAGGTAGTGAAACCATAGACAGCCGGCAATGGCAACCTATTTTTTCAGGCTTTCCTTCAGGATTGAATATTCCAGTTATTCAATGAGCCTAGCAGTGACTGGTTCTCTTTAAAACACATCCTCCCTTTTAGTGGATCATCCATTTCAGAGATGAACAGCTCAGCACACAATTTGGCTGCTCTACTGCCTATGTTGGCGATGGAGCTGAGGTCATGATGGCATACCTGATGGTAACCGTTGTAATCCATGTTTCCAGGCAGCGGGAATCCCGGGGCGAGGAACAGCTCTCCCTCCAGCATCTCCGGCTTGATGAACTCTTCCAGATACGTCCGGCAGAGGCGCCTATCCCAGTCATCCGTGATGTGACCGCCGTACATGATCTCGCCAAACAAATAGCGCAAGTCATCATATGGGACCTGAGACACAAAGCAAACCGGGTGTGAAGGATGTGGATCAGCTGCCGGCCAGGAGCCCGGGACACAGCTGGGCAATGTGCTCTGGTGCCCGGCCAGCATGGAGGACACTCATGTTCTTTCAGGGAACCGTCCGGCTGAAAACAGATCTGGGTTTATGAGACTAACAGCAATGCTATCAGCAACCAATCACATTTCAGCTTCAACTGAGCTGACAACAGGTGATTAGTTACCCCATCATTTCTGTACTCTACATATTAAAGGGTCACTCCTTCTAAAATGTGCATCTATAGCTTTGAACGTATACCTATAGTGGATGAAGGTGGATACACACATTGGTGGAAGAACCTACATTCATTGGTGGATGAACCTACATTCATCCACCAATGTGTGTATCCACCTCCTCCCACTTCCGTGTGCGTCACCTTCACTGCCTGGATATACTCAGATACAGTACTTAGACTTACAACAGCAGGCAGTTCTAATCGCACCTAGTACTCAATTCTCCATGTAGGCTGGTTCTGTCATATCCTAATCCCAAACATAGGTAAAGCATAATGGCTGATAATAAAGAAAGTAAGAAACTCCAAAAGGTGTATTACTAGTATAAAAATAATGAAACACTGCCGAATGCTACCCAGCACAGTCTAAAGCCTTGGTCTGTGTATAAGTGCTGACCGAGGCCAGTAAAGTTCCTTAGACTGGCTTTTAGTGGGTAAATGGGTTGGTTTATTTCTTTTGCAGTATTTTACTTTTTTCTATGCTGTCCATCCTTTATCATATCAACATCCACATATCAAATGTGGCATAAGTCATTTTTTTTTAATGCGTGCTGTATGGTGCACAAATGTGGAACCATTGGTTTTTAAAGTAGCCTATCCCCAGTCATCCACATTTTAGCATGTCCCCAGTCTTTGATTATCTCCTGTAGCATGTATTCAGTTTCTGACCCTCTCCCGTAGCACGCCTGCGGTTTCTGACCCTCTCCCGTAGCAGGTCGGCGGTTTCTGACCCTCTCCCGTAGCACGTCGGCGGTTTCTGTCCCTCTCCCGTAGCAGGTCGGCGGTTTCTGACCCTCTCCCGTAGCACGTCTGCGGTTTCTGACCCTCTCCCGTAGCACGTCTGCGGTTTCTGACCCTCTCCCGTAGCAGGTCTGCGGTTTCTGACCCTCTCCCGTAGCACGTCTGCAGTTTCTGACCCTCTCCCGTAGCACGTCTGCGGTTTCTGACCCTCTCCCGTAGCACGTCTGCGGTTTCTGACCCTCTCCCCGTAGCACGTCTGCGGTTTCTGACCCTCTCCCGTAGCAGGTCTGCGGTTTCTGACCCTCTCCCGTAGCACGTCTGCAGTTTCTGACCCTCTCCCGTAGCACGTCTGCGGTTTCTGACCCTCTCCCGTACCACGTCTGCGGTTTCTGACCCTCTCCCGTAGCACTCGTCTGCGGTTTCTGACCCTCTCCCCGTAGCACGTCTGCGGTTTCTGACCCTCTCCCGTAGCACGTCTGCGGTTTCTGACCCTCTCCCGTAGCACGTCTGCGGATTCTGTCCCTCTCGCGTAGCACGTCTGCGGATTCTGTCCCTCTCGCGTAGCACGTCTGCAGACTCTGACCCTCTCCCGTAGCACGTCTGCAGACTCTGACCCTCTCCCGTAGCACGTCTGCAGACTCTGACCCTCTCCCGTAGCACGTCTGCAGACTCTCTGACCCTCTCCCGTAGCACGTCTGCAGACTCTGACCCTCTCCCGTAGCACGTCTGCAGACTCTGACCCTCTCCCGTAGCACGTCTGCAGACTCTGACCCTCTCCCGTAGCACGTCTGCGGTTTCTGACCCTCTCCCGTAGCACGTCTGCGGTTTCTGACCCTCTCCCGTAGCACGTCTGCGGTTTCTGACCCTCTCCCGTAGCACGTCTGCGGTTTCTGACCCTCTCCCGTAGCACGTCTGCGGTTTCTGACCCATTCCCGTAGCACGTCTGCGGTTTCTGACCCTCTGCCGTAGCACGTCTGCGGTTTCTGACCCTCTGCCGTAGCACGTCTGCGGTTTCTGACCCTCTCCCGTACCACGTCTGCGGTTTCTGACCCTCTCCCGTAGCACGTCTGCGGTTTCTGACCCTCTCCCGTAGCACGTCTGCGGATTCTGTCCCTCTCGCGTAGCACGTCTGCGGATTCTGTCCCTCTCGCGTAGCACGTCTGCAGACTCTGACCCTCTCCCGTAGCACGTCTGCAGACTCTGACCCTCTCCCGTAGCACGTCTGCAGACTCTGTCCCTCTCCCGTAGCACGTCTGCAGACTCTGTCCCTCTCCCGTAGCACGTCTGCGGTTTCTGACCCTCTCCCGTAGCACGTCTGCAGACTCTGACCCTCTCCCGTAGCACGTCTGCAGACTCTGACCCTCTCCCGTAGCACGTCTGCAGACTCTGTCCCTCTCCCCCGTAGCACGTCTGCGGTTTCTGACCCTTCGGTTTCTGACCCTCTCCCGTAGCACGTCTGCGGTTTCTGACCCATTCCCGTAGCACGTCTGCGGTTTCTGACCCTCTCCCGTAGCACGTCTGCGGTTTCTGACCCATTCCCGTAGCACGTCTGCGGTTTCTGACCCTCTGCCGTAGCACGTCTGCGGTTTCTGACCCTCTGCCGTAGCACGTCTGCGGTTTCTGACACTCTCCCGTAGCATGACTCTAGTCTCTGACAGCTTTCTCTAACATTTTCAAAATATAATGTGCAGCATATTGATGATGTGTGGGGCTGCACTTGAGGCCCCCTACACCCCCATTCAGTTGAAGAGTGGTTGGGTTGCCCTGTTGACTTGAACGGGTTATATTCAGCAGTAGTACTGCCCACGGAATGTGACGGGGGGGTATAATTCTGTTGCCACAGCAAAGCACTGCAGCTGTGACATTTGTGCCACCCCATCAGGCTGCCTTTGGAGCTTAAAAGGGTGGTAATAATGTATCCCAGCTGCCTATTTTTGTTGCCCTCCAACCACAAGTGTAAACAAGATCTAAAAGCAGGGCAGGGACCAAAACCAAACCCATTCCTACTTTGTCCAAAACTAAAAACAATCTGGAATTGGATCTCTAAGGAAAGTTGAAGGAAGTTGGCCATATTCTGGAATAGGAGATAGCTGTGTACACACTGACCCCAGAAAGCCTGGACCTCAACCCTTGCTGTGCAGAACCATCTCAACCACCTTACCTTGGCATTGGCCTCCAGGTAGTTGTACAGAACATTGACGGAGATGGTGAGATCTCCTGTGTTGAAGGGATAGGAACGGTTCCAGCCCTGGGGTCCGAATTTCCTCCTCTCTGCCACCACGGCGTGAAAGTAGCACAGAGCGAACAGGATGCTTTTGAACTCCGTCTCTCGGGCGCACATCTCTAAAGTGTCCTGCATCAGAATACAGTACTGTCAGTGCTACAGGTCTGTTGTAAAGTGGATCAAAACCCAAGAACAACATTTTATATATTGCAGATTATTAGTACTTCGTTATGGTAGCTGCATTCGTTTTTTTTTTCAGTATATATATTTTTTTTCTTTTCACCTGGGGATCCTACCAGTAATGCACTTCCTGTCCTAGGGTATCAATGCTCACTAACTGCGAGTGTGCAACAGAACACTAAGGTGGGAGGGGGGTGATCTGTAGTTCACCAAGAGAATTGGTAACAATGCCAACTGATATGAGTTCAGTACAAGCAGGATACACAGAGGTTATCAGCTCAGGGGACGCCAACATTTTCAGTAGAAGAGCCACATTGTATATTTTCCAAATATTTGCAGATGGGGAAAAAAATCTGTTTTATAAATGAATGAACACAGCAAGAGAAATAACTTCATATTAGAAGCCTCCCTCTTACATCAGAGTCCCCATCACTTCAGAGTCCTGCTTTCATATCAGATTCCCCCATACATCAGGGGTTCCCAATCAGAGTTCCCCCATACATCAGGGTCCCCATTAGAGCTCCCCCATACATTAGGGTCCCCATTAGAGCTCCCCCATACATCAGGGTCCCCATTAGAGCTCCCCCATACATCAGGGTCCCCATCATAGTCTCCCCTTACATTGGGATTCCCATCAGAGTTCCCCCCTTACATCAAGGTCCCCATCAGAAGCAGAGAATAGGGGAATCCCCAATTTGTGCACAGAGTTTGAGGATATGCCACTAACCCTAGCTGCTAGCCTGAAAAAAATGTCCTAGTGGGCCAGGTGTGGCAGTGGTATTGATGTGCAGTAACCTCTAACAACCAATCAGTGAGTGGTAGTAATGTGCAGTAACATCTATCAGCCAAGCGGTGACCAGTATTGATGTGCAGTAACCTCTAGCAACCAATCGGTGAGCAGTAAGGATGTGCAGCAACCTCTAGCAACCAATCAGCAAGCAACCAATCAGCAGCAAAATAATGTGCTGTAATCTCTAGCAACTAATCAGTGAGTCCTAATGTGTGCTGTAACCTCCATCAACCAGTCAGTGAGCGGTAATGATATGCTGTAACCTGCGGCAATCAATTGCAATTGCTGTCTGGCCTGCTGGAGTAAACTGATTTTGAGTTTAGCTGCTATTTATTGTATGTTTCAGAGCAGGTGGAGAGTGAAATTTCATGGGTGGGCCCAAGAAAATGTTTGCCCAGGGTCCCAACAATATTAAAGATGGCCCTGATGGACCTTACATTACCAGCTCAGCCAAGCGGTCTCACCTGGTTGAAGTTATCTAGAGCTTTGTGTAGGTTAGCATGCATGCCAGTAGGTGGCTCATTGGTGATCTTGATGGAATTCTCCAGGATGCCCTGTGGAATGATGTGTCCGTCGGATGAAGCGGCTGGCTCCGCGCTGATGAAGACCCGGAACTCCTGGTGACTGCCTTCACTGTTATGTTCCAGTTTCTTCTCCAGAGTGCTCAACCACTTGGCCACCAGATGGATGTTCTACAGAAATATCAAGGGGGGAATCGGTGAGGTCATCTGTGTAAAGTCTTCTTACCATCACTAGGAGTAGTTAGCCACATTTAGCTGGATCCGTTCGAATTTGTCGGAAACATATCTTAGCATTTGGACTATGTTCCCAGCAATGATTGCAACGTGGTGTACGCTGAAAGGTCTTCAACATTACAGAGCAAGTCTGGTTGAATGTGACCAACTACTACTAGCCATACCATGACCTGGATAAACGAGAACCTTCATAGACATTAAATTAGATGTAAACCCAATTATTAAAATATGATAGTCCCTTAGCAAATGAAGAAAAACAAACAATAGAGAGCACCACCATCTAAGTAAAGAGTAAGTTCATCTAAGTTAAGCGTAAAGGATAAATGAAATATTGCACTCACTGCATATATATGAAGGTCAAACCTTCTGGGTTGACAAAGTAGTGGTCCCCTGAAGCACGTAGCCATGCCCACTGCTGACATCATGGCGCCATCACTGAAAGCCTCAGAGTGGAGCTGACTCTACCTGACCTGGCCAAAGTAACCCAGAAGCCACCAATTCTATCTAGAAGAGCTTGCATTCCAGCCGGACAGTGGTTTTCCCCCTCTGACCAGCAGCGTCCCGGCGCAGGTCTGCATCCACCAGCCGCTTGCCTGCCAATCTCTGCACATCACAGTCACTCCACAGAGAACTCCACCATGCCTTTTATGACATGCTGACCTTCATATATAGGCAGTGAGTGCAATATTTCATTTATCCCTTACTCTTAATAAATGATTTACACTTAGATGGTGGCGCCCTCTCTGGCTTGTTTTTGGTGTTTGCATTAGGTATACTCAGGACTTGGTCCAGGGGAGCAGCAACCATCTTCAGTGTTGACTAATGTTTGAATTCTATTTTTCACTGGGCCCTTTTCTTTACCAAGTGGTCTATCAGCGCCATCGTTTTTAACCCATTCTATCCTTGACACATGGGCACCTGAGCCGTTGTAATATACATTTTGCATATTTTACCTGCCTGGAAAGCCCAAGTGCTTCGTACAACCGCCCATAGAAATGCTAGAAATGTCCATGGAAGTGCTCATCTGTACTCGGATATACTTACTTAAACACTCATATAGTATATGGTATTATGCACAAAATAGAAAATACGCATGACCTGGGGATTTACATTGCAAGGTCTCAGGCACCCACCCCACATGCAAAACGCCATAAAGTTATTTCAAAAGTCAATTTCAATTTTTTTAAATCTGCAGCTTTCATTAAACTAATCCCCTAGTGATCCTGCCATAATGGTTCTTGTTCGAACACTTCCTGTTATAGGGTGACAACACTCTATCCCTGTCTCCCAATTGTGATCCAGGGTTGTCGCCCTGTCACAGAGGCTTCTCATTGAGACTACAAGTGGCCATATCTATGCACATTATGCATGGTCCTATGTTGTCACCATCAGGAAATCCAACCTAACAAATGCCATGCAGACATCACTGGAGTGCATGTACTGTAAGTAAAAAAAAAGCGCTGCAAAGTGGAAGCAGAGGATCAGCAGCACTGAGATGTAACAAAGAACCCCCCGAAAAAAAGGATCCTATTAAAAGAAAAACAGGAATTGGTTAATATAAAAAGTGTTATTTATATTTTTTATATTTAAAGCAAATCTCCACTCAAAAGGGGACATTTTGCTTTAACCTCCCTAGCGGTCTGATTATGTCAGTATTTCTGTGCTCAAAGCGGTACATTTTTGTTGCATGGAAATATGTATTTTTTTTATTGTAGGCCTGTAATTTTTAGGAATAACTCACTGAAATCTGTCCGAACAAGAGTCTAGTAAACATCCCGGGTATGATAAAATTTGAAACACAAAATCATAAATTATAATATAATAATCATAAAAAATAATAATAATAATAATAATAAATTTAATTCAATAATATAATCAAACCAAAAACACTGAAATGTGAAATAGAGCGCCAAGTTTGCACATCGCTGAGCTCAGTCGCAGAATCGTTTTCAGTGTCTGATGAGGAATTTCCCCCACCAATCATTATCACTGAATTCTGCAAGTGGTTCTGATTTCCTATCGCTGTTCTCTAGCCGGTCTAAAACAGCTTTTGACCTAAAGGGACGCTTTTTGGACTCCATGGACGTTTCTCAGTTTCCAGGCAGAAAGAACAGTAAAAATGCAGGCAGGGCGCCGGACAAAGCACTCGGGACAACATGTATGTGAAATGGTTTGATACAGGAATGTTATACTATGTGATTTTAGTGTGTTTAGTAAATGTCACTTTTTGACATTTTTAAATTTCTCGCCAGTTCCGTCCCCCGTACGTCCCGACGTCACAGGGAACGGAACCCGGAAGACAGATGCTGGCATCCGCCGGAGGACATTGCCGGGGACACTGCAGGGGGGACATCGCGGGAGCGCAGGACAAGGTAAGTGCAGAAGAGATCCCGGAGCAACGCTGCAGTGTATTCCCGAGTGTAGCTCGGGGGGGTTACCGCTTGTGGAGCTGAAAGTTTACCCCGAGCTACACTCGGGAATACCACCAGGGGGGTTAAGGACTCTTCCCCTGCTCTCCGTTAAGAATTGGCACCTTTGGGGAGTGGGTACCTGTCAAAATCTAGGCGATTGGAAGCGGACGTTCGCCTCCACCAACTCCCCCCCCCCCCCAACCCCTGTAGTCTTCTGGGACACATGACAGGTCCCAGAAGACTGCGGGACCATTCACAATGCGCAGCTCTGTTTGCGCATGCTCAGTGGGTACATGACTGTGAAGCTGCAAGCTGTTACAGCCAGGTTCCCAGATGCTGGGAACAGAGGCGGCTGGTGAACCCAGAGAACACTGCTGGATCAAGTTTTTCTAGCTGCTGACTTCTTTTGTTCACAGGCGACTGGAGCTCCATTTGAACTATTTTACTTCAAGGGTAACTCCACTTTCGTGGGGCAAAAAAATTATCAAACAAAATAAAAGATAATAATATAGCATATAGACCTGCGACCCAAGTCAGATTTTTGGCATTCCCTGCAACAAAATTGTCATTTTTGGCGAGAAACTCCCAAAGATACACCCAGAGGGGAGTGTGTTTTTTTTTTTTGTCAACAAAAGTGGAGTTACTCTTTAACTAAATTAAACATTTTATTTAACTAAATATCATATCATTTGGTTAGGGACTTCTTTAACATCATCTACAAATATATGTTGCGCTCCTAAATACTTCTCAATAAATAATAAATTATTACCATTACATTAATTCAAATTATGATACAAATAACTAATAAAAGTGTATAAATACCAAAAAATATTTAAATATTTTTTGGTATTTATACACTTTTATTAGTTATTTGTAGCATAATTTGAATTAATTTAATGGTAATAATTTAATTATTATTTATTGAGAAGTATTTAGGAGCGCAACATATACAGTCAGGTCCATAAATATTGGGACATCGACACAATTCTAACATTTTTGGCTCTATACACCACCACAATGGATTTGAAATGAAACAAACAAGATGTGCTATAACTGCAGACTGTCAGCTTTAATTTGAGGGTATTTACATTCAAATCAGGTGAACGGTGTAGGAATTACAACAGTTTGCATATGTGCCTCCCACTTATTAAGGGACCAAAAGTAATGGGACAATTGACTTCTCAGCCATTCCATGGCCAGGTGTGTGTTATTCCCTCATTATCCCAATTACAATGAGCAGATAAAAGGTCCAGAGTTCAGTTCAAGTGTGCTATTTGCATTTGGAATCTGTTGCTGTCAACTCTCAAGATGAGATCCAAAGAGCTGTCTCTATCAGTGAAGCAAGCCATCATTAGGCTGAAAAAACAAAACAAACCCAGCAGAGAGATAGCAAAAACATTAGGCGTGGCCAAAACAACTGTTTGGAACATTCTTAAAAAGAAGGAACGCACCGGTGAGCTCAGCAACACCAAAAGACCCGGAAGACCACAGAAAACAACTGTGGTGGATGACAGAAGAATTCTTTCCCTGGTGAAGAAAACATCCTTCACAACAGTTGGCCAGATCAAGAACACTCCCCAGGAGGTAGGTGTATGTGTGTCAAAGTCAATAATCAAGAGAAGACTTCACCAGAGTGAATACAGAGGGTTCACCACAAGATGTAAACCATTTGTGAGCCTCAAAAACAGGAAGGCCAGATTAGAGTTTGCCAAACGACATCTAAAAAAGCCTTCACAGTTCTGGAACAACATCCTATGGACAGATGAGACCGAGATCAACTTGTACCAGAGTGATGGGAAGAGAAGAGTATGGAGAAGGAACTGCTCATTATCCTAAGCATACCACCTCATCAGTGAAGCATGGTGGTGGTAGTGTCATGGTGTGGGCATGTATGGCTGCCAATGGAACTGGTTCTCTTGTATTTATTGATGATGTGACTGCTGACAAAAGCAGCCGGATGAATTGTGAAGTGTTTCGGGAATATTATCTGCTCATATTCAGCCAAATGCTTCACAACTCATTGGACGCTTCACAGTGCAGATGGACAATGACCCAAAGCAGACTGCAAAGCAACCAAAGAGTTTTTTAAGGGAAAGAAGTGGAATGTTATGCAATGGCCAAGTCAATCACCTGACCTGAATCCGATTGAGCATTTCACTTGCTGAAGACAAAACTGAAGGGAAAATGCCCCAAGAACAAGCAGGAACTGAAGACAGTTGCAGTAGAGGCCTGGCAGAGCATCACCAGGGATGAAAACCCAGCGTCTGGTGATGTCTATGCGTTCCACACTTCAGGCTGTAATTGACTGCAAAGGATTTGCAACCAAGAATTAAAAAGTGAAAGTTTGATTTATGATTATTATTCTGTCCCATTACTTTTGGTTCCTTAATAAGTGGGAGGCACATATGCAAACTGTTGTAATTCCTACACCGTTCACCTGATTTGGATGTAAATACCCTCAAATTAAAGCTGACAGTCTGCAGTTAAAGCTCATCTTGTTTGTTTCATTTCAAATCCATTGTGGTG